TATTAGCCAAAAAATATTTAAATCACAAAACCGTATAGGTGTTTATTTTTGTTTCCATAAAAAAAAAAGGGGGTCGTTCAATACGATGTTCAGATTTCGAGATTTAAAAATGTGGCAACCCTAACCTGAACCTACGATGTAATAGGAAATCGACGGGATGGCGGTCTGCGAGCGGAACGGCAATTCGAACGGATACCGTCGAAAGTTACACGTGTACGTACGAGGACATCGGACGTAAGTCGGAAACGAAAAGAAAGCGCGAAATATTTCTTTTGGCCCCGTCGTACGAATTCTTTTATTGACGGTTTTCGCCGAACACGAAAATAATTTAGTCCGGTGAACTTGGGCGACGGAATACCGTAGGAATTCGTCTCCTGTTAGGGGGGAGGGGGAGGGGGTAGAAAGCTCGGCGGCCGTCCGGCGACGTGTCACGATCGCGCATTCCTCTTGGACCGTCCTGCGAACCATACGGATATAAGACCAAAACGCCAAGCGCGCTTTTGCCAGGTGCCAAGAAAACTAAGCGATACGATTTCGGACGAGCCGTCGACCGAACGCGTTCACTCACTGTCGCGGCGATAGGACGCGAACGCAATTAGTTCTGTCACTCGGCGGTGGCGCGCACGCGCTACGGGCGACATGCTAAATATACATGTACATCATACGTGAGCGCACACGTGGCGACGACGACGAGATTGATTGTCGCGGGCGAAACGGTATCAAACACCGGTATCGTATTATTGTCCATTTTTCAAACCCTAGGATTCAGGTCAACTCGAACGCAACGCGTACACATACGAGCATATTTACCGCAGCGCATGCGTTCGTCGGTCGGCTACCACCACCTCATCACCTGCGACTGATACGATAATATATATATATATATTAAAGGCAGTGGCGCGGCAAAGGATTACGAGTGAATTGCCTTTGAGATTTTTGTACGAGCGTGGGACGTCGATGTATACATTTACAACTACCCAAGCTGAGTTAAACTTTTTTTTTTCTTGTATTAAACGATCCGTATAACCCTGTTGGTTGTGCAACGTACTGTTCTACATTACACTCGTAGCGCAATATAGTCTATGCCGTAGATTATCCTGAAAACTCTCCAACATACATTTTGAATGTAAATCGCCTCTCAGCAATTTTAAGCTCATCACGCCACCGTTGTATAGGTATGACCAAATGATCGGACTATAAAAATAAAATTACAAGTATTATGTGATTAGAGCATCGCTTACTTAATTTTGCAAGTTGACATGCGCGTATTTTGATTGCGACCTATTATACCAATTTTAGCAAAAAGAAATTTTCTTAAATTATACAAATGGATTTTATTTATCAATATCGGTCAAAAAAGGGCTCCAGGCTCAAAGGGTTAACTTTCAGACTCCCAGATACTAAATGCTCTTTTGCGCACGATTATACGAGTAACTATAATAATACATGAAACTTAGTTATATAAAGGAACTTACATTTCATTGTTTTCCACGTGTTATTCGTCTTACATGATATTAATTTTCAGTGTCATCGTTAACGGACAGACAACTTAGGAAATTTCTTAGGGCCATGCACTTAAAATAAACTTGGGGGCTCACAATTTGTCAAGTAGGAATAGTAAGATATATTCAGGTGTAAGGAAATTTTACTGTTCTTGCCTAGGTCCTTACAAAAGCTTGCGACGGCACTGTTAATTTTAATTAGTATACGCTAATTTTTATTGCTGTGTAAGCACTGAAAGCATGTATTGCGGCTTAAGATTATTTAAAGCGGTTCAATTTTTTCCTTTAGTTACAACCGATTATTAGTTTTGAACATAATATTTATTATTTTATATATCAAACATTCAAATGGTTAAACATGTAAATAATTACAACAAATGTTTTATAAAGACCGGACTTTTTTTAAATAAATATCAAACTTTGATGAAAATATTATAATAATGTTATACTCGAATAATCAGACGAATAATGATATTCAAAAACATATCGGTTTGTATCAAAATGTAGAAAATTACGTTACCTACATTTTATTGAACAAATTACATAAAAGTGATTGATTTTGCTAGATTATAAGATTTTAAAAACTTTTCCATACAAAATGGGTACGAGGTTGGTTCAAAACGAGGTTGGCTAATCCAAAACCACAACGTACTATTGAACAATATGATTGATTTGTTGATGTATGTGAAATTATAAATTATAAGTGAAAATCAATAAACATTTCGAACATCAAATTTACGCCTTATTCAACTTGGTAAGGCAGTGAATGGTAATTTATGCGTAGTTTCATGTTTAGACTGGTATTGAGTATAAACAATGATTATGTACGTCGTTCAGGGAAGAACGATTAACGAGAGTAAAATGCTGGATAATACTTCTTAACATAGAAAATTTTTAAACGAAAACCTAACCTACTTTATTAAAAATGTTTCGATTGAATTTTTGTGGTTTTTTACTGTAAATAAAGGAAGTAAGTCACGCCTAGCGTACTGAAATTTAAATTTATTCCGACATTTTTATCATTTTCGTTCCAAATGTATTAATACATAATTGTATAGTCCCAAGAATGTAGAACAGTATTATAATGTAGCTATATTTTTAGATTAGATTTTAGGGCACTGATTATTATAAAATATAATTAAAATTATCTCTACAGTAAAAATATGCTTATTAGTTCGTTATGTATTAATTTTTATTGCTGGCTTGTAATTCATAACATTGAATACAAGTCTATGTAATTACATTAAAGCATCATGTTAGTTCCAATTAAAGTGCATAGTTTAGATTTTTAGGGAATTGATGAATTTAATTTTGATTTATATAAAATAATCACAAATCAAGTACGAAAACATTACGTAAATCTTAATACATAATAGTCAACAGCAACTTACGAGCAATAATATAAAACATTCGCTAAAACGACTTCCGGTGTTTCTGTTTAGTCTGAATTTTATTATTTCACTATACTGAAACGCAACGCGTTTTATTAACTACACAAAATATGGCTGTATCTAAACTGTGCCAAAATTAATCTTTTTCTAAAAATTGATATGTAAACTGCAGTAAGAAAAAATTTAACATTATACAATCAACGACAAAACCGATAAGATACATTATATAAGCTGCGTAAATTTATTCTACACACCTACGATGTTATATACTAAATAGTATAATGTTAAATTATTTCTTGCTGCAATTTACTATCTCTCCAAAAATATAATTTATTATCCTTGATACATATTGATTCGAATGATTAACATATTTTAGTAATTCATGTATTTTTCCAAATCTGAAAAGTATATACTACTATATTTTTTAATCATTGAATATTTGATAGGTTTTTTTTGATTTAACTAAAGAAGTTTAATAATAATATGATAACTAGTCACTCTAGACCTATTTGACCTAGGTATCAAGGTATCTATGTATTGAACTTATAGCCTTCACTGGCAAATTTCATAGATATATAGGGTTATCGGGTCCAACAATATTGTAAATTGTTATTTAAACTGAAAAAAATAAAAAATGGCTTTTATCTACCGAAATAAATTAAAAAGTTCGTAAAAAAGTATGGCACAAAATTCGAAAATGATCAATTAAGTTTTACAAAAATTTTATGCTGTTTCGATTTTATAGACACGGTGCGTACGAAATGTCGAACTTTAGGGTCTCAAGGCCTCAAGGCAACTGCTAAAAAAGGAGCCTATTAAAAATATATTAATGAAAACTACTTTAAATGTTTATGTTTAATATACTCTAACAAGAAATTATAATACAAATATAATTATCATATAAATATATATATACATATTTTTTTGTACTTGGACGGGGCTCGGGCAGCTGCCCTGACGAAAATTCGGCACTACGTGTACGAATGATACTATATAGGTACCTAATGGTAAATGGAAACTAAGTACTCCGATCGTTTTCTTTTTTGAACTATGAATAAGTAGAAAACTGTTACGTCGACTCGTTCATAGAATTGTACAACAAATAATATATTAATATGAACTAGTTCGATAGTTTCACAACAAAGCACGTGATTTTTTTTTAATCTTGTGCCCGTAGTAAAGTACTAAACACAGTAGTAGCTAATCGTTTAAATGTCTTATAAACAATTAGATATGCTCAATATCATATTATATAAATTAGGTACCTAAACTTGGTAAATATAATATATACACACACACGCGCGCGCGCATATATTTATTATCTTTACCGATAATTTATTGCTATTATTCAATGAATTATTATTTTAATAATGTGACCTTCGCGTGTTTTTGATTTGTCAGTTTTAAAATTATAAAGACCCATAAATGTTTATAAATTATAAATACCTACATTAAAACGCTTATGATAGTTTGATTAGATCAACTATATTAATAATGACATATTGAGTTTGAACTGTACATTTCCGGACTATGGACTGCCGTTGAAAATTGTTGATGGTTATAAAATAAAACCCTAGATAGAACACATATTTTATTCGTCTACACATGAATACGTGTATGACAAGAATATATGCCTACCTGTGACGTCTTGACGACAGAGTCACACTCGCGCGTCTTGTGTTTATGATTTTTTTTTTTTTTTATACTTATTATATTTTAAAGCCGACCTTGAGAACGTTCTTCGTTCGGTTTTCACTTCCTACACGGTTTTTGTTTTTGTTTCTCAGCGCGACGTGTAATTCGTCAAAACGTCAATACTGTACCTACGTTATAATCCATTTAGTCTCGCCTAACGAACAATAAGCAACGCACGCGTATGTTTTGTCTTCTAAAGAAGCGTGTATCGAAAGAATTGACGACCGATCGGACAACGCAGACAAACTTAAGCATTTTTTTTTTCTATTTCTTTTAGTGCCGCCACAGAGAAAGTCCGCAGGTTCTAATGCACATGCCCATCCAATTGAAAAACATTCAAAGAACTCCAAATTGTGAAACGTACACGTGTATGAATATTTATAAGACAAAATGCGTCATAGGTATGGTTTACCTCTTTGATTTTGTAGCTCGTGCGCCGCGTGATGGTCCGGTGTACTTCACTTTCGTAGATCTCTTCGACGCTTCCCATTTTTACTGGATTTGATTTAAATGACGACGAAAACGAAATTTATTCACAACGTATAAAGTGAGAAATAAACAAATTGCTGGTGAGCGCGATCCGGACCGATATGATTTACAACTAACTCGTACACACGCTGCGCTGCTGGTGCGATACCTAATCTCAGTTGATATCTAAATCGAACGATGTTCTTTCCGTGCTAAACGTCTGTATCTCGAGAGTTGGCTGTTTTGATGGCGCGTTGGGCAGCATGCGCGTAGATTAAATCCCAGTCCCTTTACGTTCTATATTTAGATCACTAGGGGAAAAAAAAAAACGAGCCTCGGTGTAAAAATGTACGCACAATGCATTCTTCCGTTTCTTTAACCGTCGTAATTTATTTTTTACGTTTCTTTTTTTTTGTAGTTGTAATGTTTTTGAGACCTTAACATATTATATTGTCTTGTTTTTCCAAGCCTCAAGGTTACGGTCATTTTACATATAGACGTATCTATGTTACAACCGCGTTTTATTTTTATAAATCAATTGAATAATATAATTTGTTTAAAGATTGTTTTTTAAGTAAATTTTTAAACTGTCAAGTAGAGACATTTATTAACATGGTCAAAAAAAAATCCAATGCATGCAATTTCATATCACAAAGGAGTTTTTAAATGCAAGACATAAAGTATGTCTATTATTACATGACTTTTTAGATGTTTCATTAAAAAATATAATCATTTTATAATTACAATGATAATCATGATTAAATGCATCTTAAAATAATTACTTTAAGCTACATAAAGTTACGAAGAAGATAAGATACCCAAAGTATAAAAATGTAAATATACATAATATATAGTATAAATATGTAAATGTTATTATATGGCTTATCAATTATCATGATAAGCTAATAAAAACGCTATAAGTACATACAAGAATTCGAAAGAGCATTTTACAATAAATTGATAAAACAAAATTAGATATGGCCGACATGAACTAGACATTTTTTTTAATTTTAGGGTTTTAATACATTTTTATTTAAAATTTTTGTGTATAATGAAAACAATATTGACTAATTTATGTAAGAATTAATATAAAATTCATAAAAATAAATTTCTTGTGTTAATTAATTGAATTTATTCTTTAAGAATTGTTAAAATATGTATAAAATTTTGTAATTTTCTTTAAAAAGACCCATAACGAATCTTGGAAAATTATTGATTAGTTATTTTTTTTAATTAAACAAAAGATTTTCCAATAAAAATAATTTTAGCCCCGTAAAAAAAGATTTAAATTAAATTATAAAAATAAAATTATAACTTGTATCACAACTATACTTGACTAAATTTAAATATATAAGTAATAATTTTTCTATTTTCTATGTATTTTTGTTTTCTTTGTCCAAGAAATCTGTAGTTTCCATACAATATTAAAAATATTTTAAAACAAACAATAATATTATGATTAATACATTTATACATAAATAAAAATTTATGTTGCTGGCTTAGGAATGTAGCTTTAGCATACATAGAATATAAAAAAATAGCCTATATTGTTTTTCTTCATAAAAAAATTGTACAATCCAACTGTGCAATCATATAACAGTTAGGTATTATACAGTATGTATTACAGTTGAGGAAGTGAGTTTTTATGGTCTTGTATTAGTGACTGAAGTGTGGAGAGTTCAGATGGCTGGAAAACACCCTTTTCAGTGATTATTCCAGTTATCAGTCGAGCTGGTGTTACATCAAATGCTGGATTCCAACAAGTTACACCTGAAAATAAAATTAAATATAATTAAATAAAGTTTTATATTTTTGATCCAAAATAATAATATAAACGTAGCTAATATTATTATTGCACAAAAGTACTATAGAAAAAATAAAACATTTTCTCTACAAAATTGATATATTTTTATTTTTATTTTTGGAAATAAATAATAATGATCTGAATTTGTTTATATTACAAAAATATTAAAGATTATATTATATAGAGATTATAAATCAATAATTAAATATACCAAGTATTGTGTTAATTATTATCAAAATACAATAATAGTTAATTACAATTCACAATATGTCATTAAGATAAAGAACATTTAATAACAATAATTATTTTATTTTGATATAAAATATTTGTAGTACTCAGAAATAATATTAATTGATTAAATAGTAAATAACTACTTATAGTAAGCTAGTTATTTAAGATGAATTTTTAATTAACATAAGAGAGTTTTTATTTTTATTTTAAGTACAAAATGAAAGTAGTCATACAATGGTGTTGCATTTTTAGCACAAATTCAATAATTAAATATTCAAAATTAAATCATATAATGCTGAAACATGAATATTTTTTGTAAATTTGTTAAGCATTCATAAGAAAAAGTTTTATGATCCTAATTTTTAATTGTTTAATTAATAATTTTGAAATTATTATTAAATGTTTATTAAAATCAAGCATAAAATAATTACCAAATATATTCAATAAATATATTGTTTTAAATATTGGTTTTACCTGGAGAAGCTATTCTTATATTATTTATGTGTGTCATTTCCACTTGAGGCCTCTCCTCAATAATAATATTATCACCAGTATTTACATTAAAATCAATTGATGTCAATGGAGCAGCTACATAGAATGGAACATCGTGATGTTTAGCAACAACTGCTATCTGTTAAAATACATTTAAAATATTATTATGATTTTTTATACAATAGATTATTTTTATGCTTAATGTTATTCTTAATTAGTGTAATTTTTCAGAATCAAATTAAAATTGGTTTTAATAAACAAAATAACAGATTAAAATATTCAGTACACAACACACAAATAATTTGATTAATACCGAGAATGTTTATGTATAAAATGTATGTGCCTAAGAATACTAACTTGATAAGTTCCAATTTTGTTAGCAGTATCTCCATTGGCTGCTACCCTATCGGCACCAACAACAACAGCACTAATCTGAGCAGTTTTCATTAAATAAGCAACAGTACTATCACAAACAAGGGTTGATGGTATTTTATCATGAACTAATTCATAGGCAGTTAATCTGGCACCTTGATTGTAAGGCCTAGTTTCCGTGAAATAACATTTTTTCTAGAAATGAAATATTGTCTTAACAAATACATTGGTTTTATGTTAAGCTGACAATAAAATAGATAAAGAAACAAATATAAGTTTAAGTATCTTACCCAGTCTTGAAGTAGAATGTAAACAACGTACAACACCTAATGCAGTACCAAAATATGCAGTAGCTAATGAACCAGTGTTACAATGTGTTAAAATTCGAACTTGTTCACCATCTGTTATACTGTTTAAAATTGCTTTAGCTCCATATTCTCCTATTGATCTATTATCTGATATATCTTTTTCTAACATTGCTTCTATCGCTGCAACAAACCTAGAAAATAAATGTAATTTAATATAATATAATGTAAATGAAATAACAAAATTCTAAGTGAAATGATGAGTGTATTAGTTTTACTATAATATGTTTTTTTTTTATGTTTGAATAGACGATTTTGACTTGAAGAGTCCTTCAGTTCCAATCACCATTATAAATTAAGAAAATCTACTATGTTTTTGTAGTTTAAATCATAAAAAAATATTACTGATGTCACAAAAATGTTTTATAAGCATTCAGGAATTTAATTTTGTCAAAATCAATTATTTCAACAAACTTAAATTAAATATTAATCAATTGTTATTCTATATATATCATTCATAGTAAGGTGGAATATTAGCAATTATTAAGATATTTCATAGTTTAAAAATATTTTCATGAAATTTGTACTATATAAAAAACTATTTTAGATTTTCCTTAATTTTATTTTGCGAAAGTTAGAACATTGAAATTTCAGCCTGCTTCATTAAGAAATTTGGTTCTACTAGTACATAAAATATTTTTAGACATATAAACTAATCTACCCAATCTCTGTTACTAAGAATTATTTTTTTCAAAAATAATGGTACATTGGCAAGTTCAAAATACCAATACAGTAATATCATTCACCCATTTAAGTATCCACTTACTTAAGAATTTCACTCTTTTATTTACTTAATATTCCATGTTTACATAAAATATAATTTTTATTTTAATAAAAATTTATTTGAAAAAAACAATTAAAAATATATATACTGGCAAGATATTTTGATATTTTCTACACCAAATTCATAGTTAAATAGTCCCTTATATAGTATTCTTGATTTACCATTTAAAACCATAAAAATAAATAAATCAATAATACAATATCAAATATATTTTTATGGAAGAATTTAAATCATAATTAATGTATTTTTATCTATTAACCAATTATGTAATTTGTTAATAAATAATTTTTGAGTTTCTAATTACATAAATCAGTATTGTTATGCATAATAATCATTGTAGAAGTTTGAACAAAATTTAAAAAATAGAAAAGAACAGAAACAAAATAAGTGTTTATCATATTAAAAGCTTACCTAGCTTGCATTTCTTGTGCTGAAACCGACTCATCATTATCCAAAGAATTTATATAAGATATTAAATGATCTGCAGCCTGTTTCATATTTACAGCAGTTGGCCGAGCAGATATTAAATAATTCAGTTTGCCTTCAACTTCTCGTCGAAGAGCTTTTTTCTTTTCAAATTCTTCTTTTGATATTTCTACAGCCAAACTTAAACATCCAACAATAGCAATAGCTGGAGCACCTCGTACCTAAAATTAGCCATGAATCAATATAATTTGAATTTATAAACTAATGTAAGATTGTTAAACATTTCAATACAATAATAAGGAATCAAAAATATTATTGGTCATAAATACAATATTAATGTAACTTAAAGCTTATAAACATCAGATCATCTTTAAAATTTTACACTTAGATGATATTCTAGTTGAAATATAAATTGTATATAATTCATGAAACAGTCGATAAGCTAAGATAAAACACATAGCTAAGAAATAAGCTAAAATCAATGGCCAATTCTATGCTTATTATTTACTTTTTTTTTTTAGATATTCATACAAATATTCAAGATATAATTTGATAATAAGTTGTTAAAAATTTTAAATATTTAATATTATGTAACATTAAAAAAATAAAATTTTAACTTTGATAAGTAGATATAACAATTAAATTATGCATTTATACTTAGTACCCACCAATATTTACGATTATAATTTTCAATAATGGTAAAATATTAAATCTATTTATAAAATGATAAAATATACGATAAGAGAGTACTTAATTAATTTCTATGTTCATTATTTATATATTTGGTTATGATTCTATTTCCTCAATCCATAATACAAAATTATATTTTATCTTAAATGAATTAATCATATACTATGCTTCTCAATTTGTTTATGATATAAAAGGCTTAAGATATAATTTATTAGATATAAGTTATTAAGTAGTAATTATAACAAGCATTTATAACTATATACATGATTTGATTAATAATTAATATATATATTTTTGTAAAATTTTTATTAATTAAATATTAAAAATATTCTCCTTACCAATCATACATTTAAGAATTGGAAAATTTAAGTTTTGTAGTAGTTAGGAAACCTAGTAAAATAGATAATTATATTTTAATTATTAATTGTTATTGTTTAATTTAATCAATTTGAATGATTCAATATAGAACATTTTACTTTATTAATATGTAGTTCTTTAAGTAAAATTTTAAAAAATGTCTAAGTATAATATAAAATGAATACTTAGACCAAGATTAGGGAAATAAACAAATATTAAGGGTTGTTAAAAATTGTTTAGAAAAATATTCCTAAAATTTTAAAATTATATGTTAAAGAACAAGGTGTAATATTTTAGATATAATAGTACTTGCATTAATATACATATATATATATATATATCAATATCAGCACAAATTATACTATAGATAAAAGATAATAGGTATTAGATTTTTAATGCTTTACTTTAAAATAAAACATAGCATACTTTTAATAAGGAAAGTAAATTTAATCTGTTAAAGTCAATAGTCTTGAACACTAAAATTATAACTCGTTCAATTAAAATAAGTCTGTTATATGTTTCTAAATCAATCTACAATGATATAAAGTCATATAAACAATTAATTATTTTTTCTAGATTTAAATAGTTAAAAATGACTAAAAAACTGGTTTTACGTCTAACTTAGCTTATGGTTATATAGATATCAAATAATAAGTGGGTAATCGTTTAAAAGTAACAACCCAATCAATAATTTAGTGAATTTATATATATGTGATTTTTACCCACAGCAGTAATCTTGGCAGTAATGTATTAGTCAAATAAATAGCCAAGTGGCAGATAATCAAAAATAAATGATTCTTGATCAATTTTAAATGCGTGTAACAAAATATTGACACACAAAAGGTAGACTGAAATACCCATACAATTGTTGAACTAAAAAAGTGATGGTTTAGCTCATAACTGGGCCAAAGGTTCAATTATTTCCAATGAGCTTCCAATTTTTTTTCTAAGAATATTTAATGTCTACAGATTACAGTAGGCAGTAACATTAAATTTATAATAATGTTGTATAAAGATGTGAATGTTTGACTTCACATTTCTTGCACAAATGTCAAAACTAATTGTTCAAGACTTGTCTTCTAAATACTTAAATGTAATTAGTAGGTAATAAGATGGTTTTTTCTTGTTTGTAGTTTTAACTTTTGAGTAATACATTGATTGACTAAAGTTTCATACAGTACATTTTTAGAATGGAAATTAAATACCTATGGTTTAAAATATAAATTTTTCAATTTTTCAGGAGTTACATAAATATGATAAAAACTATAAATAAAAAATATGAAAATAATGTACAATATTTTGCTACATATTTAATCATGAATATTTTTAATATTATTTTAAAATAAGCAATTTTGTGCCTTTAACTTGGAAATTGTAAGTAAACATTAATAATAAAATATTTTATAGAAGTAATATTATATTTACTTGTGTTTTAATTGCACATATTGTAAATGTTTCAAATTTAAAATATGGCAAAACTAATTATTTTATAACCTTTTTTTTTTTTATTACTATTTCAGCAAGAAATCTGCACTGAATGTTTGATTCAAAGGTTTCATTAAATTTTAATATAACCGGAGAAGAAACTTTAAAAAAGTTGCTTCAGTGGTTGTTCTGATAAGAAAAAAAACTTAATTAAAATTTTGTCCATAAAGGGTTTATATTTCTTTTGATTAAACGGAATGATTGTGTTTTAAATCGTAAAAAATGAAAAGCGTCACACTAATATTAACATTTCTTTAATATTTTGGCAACAATCCCTAATATAAAGTTTGGACTCTAAACGTAGACAAGATAGAAATGGAGCCAAAGTCCTTACCGTGGTATGAGCACACGCATATAATCGTTGATAAAAACTAGGTAGTCTCAAAAACTAGTAGAAAACTAGTGTCCGAGTGGGATGTGCTGGAGGGATCAGAACCCGTAACGACGTACCTGCATCTTGTTGATGACCTTCCATCCGTCTTCGACACCCAAAATCGGTATGTACTTGGACTCTTTGGGCAACAACAGTTGATCCAACACTTCCAACGTGCCATTCTGGTACCGAATGGCTTGCAGCGTCATGGTCGCGGCCGCGGTCCTCTCGGTCGTCTGACAACTGAGCACGACTGCGTGGCTGTTGGCCGCTGCGTGAGCCGTGTCTGGCGGACCGGTCGGTTCGTCGGACACGTTCAACACGTACATAAACGATGGCGCGCGTGTTCAACAGCTGCCGCGTGCGGTCACACAACTGATACGGGTGGCCGCTGCGCTGGCTCGTCCGCCCCGGCGTGGTGCTGTCGCGGTCCCGGCCGGCTCGACGTCGAACGTTACCGCAGCTGCTGCAACTGTTGTTACTGCCACGGGTCCGCGACTGGCTATTGCTACGGCGACCGGACGACGACGTACGTAGCGCAGCTGCTGCGACGGCGGTACGGGTACTAGGTAGCCCGGTCAAGTGGTGGGTAGGTTAGCAGGTAGCAGTT